GGCCAAGGAGCAACAGCGTGAGATTGTGAAGATCCAGCGGGAGAGCCACCAGCTCGACACCTTGGCTAATTAATATTAATTGAATTTCTTTTCGGCCAAAGCCAAAGGCACTCTCGGGGCGAGTGCGTGGAAATCCAAGCAGCTGTTGTCGGGTGCCACTCGATTGGCATTAGCAGCGCCTGCCAAAAAATAACAAACCAATGAAGTGGAGAATACCCTGGTATTTTGGAAAGGCAGTGAGAGAAAATATAGAAAATTTTGAAATAAAATAATGACAAGAAAATCTGAAGAAAAACTTTACTCTTAAATTATTTTTTAGTCCTAAAATGAATCTTTGAAAAGAGAGATAGGGCAGACCTTCAAAAGACATCAGTTTGTTTAAGTAAAATATTTTAAAATTAAGGTAGCTATAGCTTAAAATATATTTTAAGGTTTAATATGTATTTTATATCTAGTTAAAATATTAAAATATTTTTCTAATAATTTATACAGAAATTTACTTCTAAAATGTAAAAACTGAATATCAAAATTCCTCTTTTAAAATCTAAAAAAAAATCCAAAGAAAATTCTTTCGACATTCTCACTTAAAACTTATATCTTACAACATATTTAAGATTTACCTAGTATTTTTTTGAAGTGCCTTGACCCCAAGAAGTGCATTTAGTTCACACCAACTCACTAGTCGGCACTCAGCTAATGCCGCTTCTAAACGATCACGAAAGCCGGGCGGAAGTGGAGCAGATGAAGCGTGCCCTGCACGAACATTTTCGGGGCAATTATAGTTCAATTATATTGGAGAAGAGAGAGAAAAGATATAGAGGATATATATATATATATATTGGCCAGGGCACGCAATGGTCAAGAGCGGGTCGAAAGCAGGGTCAGTTGGTGCTGGACATAGGGTTAAAGGGCCAGCTAACTGACAGCTGGCAAATTGCAAGAGGACCCATGTCAGTTGTCAGAAGAGGCAGGACGACAGCCAAGAATTTTGGCTGGACTTTCCAAACAGAGGTCAAGCAGTGAACCCGTTAATATGCCAGCCAAGCCAATTTAAAAATATATTTTCGATTGGTTTTCATAATCTTTTATTTCATAATTTATTACAATTGAAAATTATGTTCAATATTTCCTCATATTTTTTTTTGTTTTTCATCCTTGTTGAGTTTTTTTTTTTGTCTTGCGATTTTTCTTTTCTTTTGGGCTTGCAACAGGAATTCAGGAATTCGTTAATTGGTTTTTTTTTTTTAGTTCTTTACATAGAAGCTTCAATTAGTTAATTAATTTAATGATACTGTTTCCTTTCAATATATTTATATTTAATTCATTCTGGCCTTTAAGTCTAGCAATTTAGTTAAATTTAATTTTTACACGCACAAACATTTATTTAATTCAATTCTCCATAGAAATATATTTATAGTTTTGACTTCATAGAGTGTGTGTTTTCTTTCTGTTCTTTTTTTATTGATTTTTTTATTTTTCGCAACTAATGAGTTAGCTCTCCCTTTCTAACTCTGGTGCTGTGCTCGCTCGCTGCTAGCTCTCTCTGTTTTTCGCTCGTCGTGTCTTTCATTCTTTTGGTTTTACTTTGATGCTGTCGCGTGGGTAAGTTGTATAAATTGTTCATCTTTTTTTCATATTTTTTCATCATTTTTCATATTTTTTATTTATTTTCTGGTGCACTTTAGTCTATGCTCAGGGTTTGAATTTCTTCGCCTAAACCTTGTCCCTTACCATTTACCGCTAGAGTCTAGCATTAGATTAGATTTAAGCTTAAAACTAAAATTAGTATTATAAACTTAAGTGTGTGTCTGTGTCGGTGATCTATGCAAATGTTGCGATTTATATTTACAGTGTAGTGTCTAGAGGGGGGGATGCTTACTAGGAAGTTATAAAAAAATTTACAATATTTATTACATACATTACAATCGAATATGTTAATTTATAATATTTATAATCGTATTTATCAATCGTAATAATCATAATCGTTTAATAATAATAATAATAATTCCTTGCTGTAGCATTTAATTAATCATATTCATAATATTTACGGCGTATACATTAAAGTTTCGAGAAAAATCACATTTGAATTTAAATTCTGACAATGGAAATGATTTCGAACGTAAAAAGCCTTTCTTTCATATACAATGCGTATCATATAAATCGTATAGCTCATTATTTGTGGATATATATTAACCACATCGATCCGATATATATATATCTATATATATTGCCATATCCCATATCAAAATCAATTTACAAGCTTAGCAGCAAAGATATCCCCCTTACACTTCTTCTCCAGCAGATACTTTAGATATCCCAAAGATCGAATATAGAATTGAGATTTATATATAAAAGAAGCTCATACAAAATACTTGAAAACTCTGCTGGGATATCATTTGCCATCGACTGCATTTTTGGTTCCCTTTTCTTAAGCCATAATCTGTATGATCTGTATATATATATATATTATATATACTATTCAAGATTTTATTATTAAAATTTAGTTAGGTATAACTAGGTATAGTTTATGTTCTGTATATAGACTCGTATACATCATTCATTCATTCAATGCTTCCACTTTGGTTTCTCATTTAAGGCGTTCTGTACAATTTGCGTTTAAACGTTTCTCAAGTCAATTTCTGTGTCGATTAATTAACTACTTTCTATATATATATATATATAGTCTAATAAATTACTAGCGATGCGTACTCGTACTCGTATATCGTATAGTTCTGGTTGTATAATTGTGAAAATGTTCATGTTTTCGCCATCAATTTTGCAATTTAATTTCAATTTCAATTACAGTTTTATTTTTTTTTTTTGTAAATAAATTTGATCGCATTAAAGGGGGATTCTTAGAGAAGTTCGTATACATTTTGAGTGATTGTTTCGAGTGTAGTCGGTAAGTAATTGTTGTTTGATGATAAGTTTCTTTTTGTAACTGCCAATTAAAGTTAGATTTTTCCCAGCAAAAGAAGCTCAAGAGCAGGCTAAACAAATCATCTTTTTGTATTTTTTTTCAAAATAGGTACTCGCTTTCCACACACCGTTTTTTCAATCTATTTAATAGTTAGTTAATAATTCACAAAACTAAATACTTAAAGTTCGATTTGTTGCCCACTGCATTTACGTATATTCGTTACCATTTTAAGATTAATCAGATTCACAAGCAATCTAAATTCAATTCAGTTCCTTAGCATGTCAGGCGTCTGCCAAAAGATCCAACAGGAATATAAAATAAATTTGTTTTTTTTTTTTTGATGAGAAAATAACACTCTTGGAGTATATATCCCTTCTCATCTCATTATAGAAATCATAGGCCCACGCTGTAAGAAAAAAGGAAAAGCCAACAAACGAAAATCAAAACACAAACAAAGGTTATTTTTTCAAATATTTTTCTCATATATGCATTTGTTGTTTTCATCAATAAATCGTCTCTCTCTTTCGTACAATTATCTTCGTTCATTTCTTGAATTAGTTAAATTTAAATCATTAATTAAGTAAATGTAATAATAATAATAATAATAATAATAATAGTTAACTAAGGATTAACGCATACAAATTAGAATACATAAATAAAAGTAAAGTAAGCATAATTTATTATTAATATTACGTATACATATTCAGAGTTATGTATATGCCTATGCCATTATTTGTATCGTATTGTTTTTGTATCTCGCATTAAATCTTTTCTCTTTATATATATATATATATATGTATATATTAAAATCTGTTCATGTGCTTCAGTTGGAAAATAATACTACAAGATCCGCACATGCAGTTTAAAGGAAAATCTAAAAACAAATTCCATTAGCAAATCATAAAAGTTTCTCTTTCGTTTTTTTTTTTTTTGTAAAAATTAAATTCCATTTCGTTTTTACTTAAGTTGTTGCAAGGCGTAAAATTAGAAAACAATTCAATTTATTTAAATTAAACGTAGGATATATATATATATAATCGTATATATATATATATATAGTAGGTTGTCTATCGCCTAAAACATAGATGTACGTCTGTAACTATTTAGTTTGTTAATCGATTTGTTTTGTATGTACATATACGTTATATATAGAAAACAAAGCGTTACTACAACTGACTTGTTACATAATAACTAAAATGAAACTAAGAACTAGCAAAGTTTTTATCCTTTCATTCCGCAAAATGATATATATACTATATATATATATATCTTCAAACTTTATCAAATTTCGTGCTGCAAATTGTTGGTTTTTTTTTCTTTTTTTTTTCTCCTCTTGATTTTCTGGTGGGGCGGGGCATTTTCTAAATTCAAACTAAAATCTATAACAATTTCGAACGAAATGTCGTTTAAATTTTGTATGTATGTATGTGTGTGTGTGTGTGTTTGTCTGTGTTTTTAAGTTTTCCTTTCTGGACAGCGCCTAAATTCATGCTTTAAAAATTTTTGTGTGTTTTCCGCAGCTTTGAACATAAAAATTTGCATTTCAAATTGTTGTTGTTGTCTGTGTCTGTGTCTGTGTGAGTGTGATTTCTGGTTTTATTTTGTTTATTTAACTTATAGCTAAGCGTTTCATTTTTGTTTATGCATAAATATCTTTTTTCTTTGTTTTTGTTTTTCCCATTTTTCTCTGGCTTTTTTTGTTGTTATTTATGTTTAAGGTATACACAAATAGTTTCTTTAAAATTTCTGGATGTTTTCCCTTTGAAGTGATTTGTTTGTTGCTGGTGCCTTTTGTTGTTGTTGTTGTTGTTGTTGTTCTGGATTCTGCAGTTGTTGTTGTTGTTGTTGTTGCTTAGCTAATATCATTTTATATAGATTTTACTACGTTTGTTGTTGTTCTTTGCTTGTTTCTTTTTTTGTTTGCTATTTACTTGACTGATATTGCCACGCGGTATGCTAGTTTTGGGATCGGATCTTTGCCTTCTCCTCTTTCTACATCTCCAGTTCATGTTGTTGTTGTTGTTCTTCTTCTTCTTGTTGTTATTATTGTGGTGGTGAAAAATTTAAGCTAGGATTTTGGCTTGATCGCTTCCGTAGAGCTCTCTGGTTTCCATTACCGGTTCCTGGCCGGTTTACGAGGATTACAAGTGCTGGCCATAATATTCAGCTGGCGGGTAATGGGGATAGCCCTGATGGAAGCCCGGATCACCGGGCGGACGATGCATCATATGCGCCTGGCTGTCCATCATATAGCCCATGGCATCATGTCCATAGCCGGAGGGACCTGGATGCGGTGTATAGACTGTTGTTAGGTCACCAAAAAAAGAAAAGCATGGAAAAAAAAAAGAAAAAAATGCACATAATTAGAAATTGCGTTATAAAAGTAAGCAAGGCGATCCTTAAACGGTTCACCGCACTTAATTCTTAACTAGATCAGCGCTCTTTCATAGTTATGGAGATTTTTTTTTGGTTTATCTTTAAGAAAAATCTAAACAATAGTTACCTGCACGATTCGATTGATCGATCATTGGCTGGACGATTCTCCGCCGCGCATTGATGAACCTGCAAGAACAAAAACAAACACAAAGATATCGTTTTAGTGGCATTCCCTTAATTAAACACAAACTTGCAACAAACAACATACAACACACACGAACACAAACACACAACCAAAATGGAGGCATGAATTATGCATGAATTGGTCAACGGATTTGCTGGTTTGGGACCATTGGTGCTTGGTGCTTTATGTGCCCAACTTAGCCATAAACCAAACCAAATCTCTGCCAGAGTCACACTTTTTGCTGCCCTCAAACACGGCCACAGATCAATGGGCATTGCCGACTTTGGTTATGATTGTCGTTTAATAAATGCAATAAGAAATAATAAGCAGTCCGGGCCATATAGCCCCGTTGATCCGAAGGATCAGTGGCGACACAAAAAGCGCAAAAAGAGCCAAATGATTAAAGCAAAAAGCCGCCGCGGCCGAGTGACAGTCACTTGGCCAAGACGATGTTACCCGCAAGCTTTGACACGGCCTCAGTAAGAGCAGAACAAAAAAAACAGCAAGAAAAAAAGGAAACCCAAACAGGGAAAACAACTGAGGAATCACTTACAGCTGCACTGAGAAAAGTTAGGGGAAAATCTTGAAAGAAGTCTCTGAAGTTAAGGTTTCTTTAAGGAAGATTTAAGTTTAAAGTTGTAAGCTTTTCTCTCAGTGCTTAGATACAGCTACTCGCATTAGCCAAAAAGCAAGTTAGCCAAGGTTAATGCACTTGGCAACTCCTCCTCAAACGGATTGAAGAAGGGAACGCTCGCCCCTTCCCTTCCCTTTGACTTTTCAATTTGCAGTTCGTTTCGCCGATCTGCCCCTGATTTTTGCTCATTTTGGGGCGGAAATTGTTGCAACGCCCTGAAATCGTTTATCAAAACGACAAAATGGAATTGAGTTCCGTTCTGCCATATAGATATTTGTTCTTATTTTTTTTCGTTATTTTTTCCCATTTCCAAGATGCAGCCAAAGATTCCACGAGTGTTGTTGTAAGCTGCAAATCGATTTGCCCGCTGGCCTCGCACTTGATTGGAATGATTGGAGTTAAGAGAGGGGAAACATATATATATATATATATATATCTTTAGGATAACTCACAGAAGTAAAGCAAACATTTGCCGAGTTATTTATGTACTTAGGCCATAATTATAACTTTTCCTTCTGCAGCTGTAACTAAGCGTTAATATTTAAAACTTGAGGCAGCAGCAGCAGCAGCAGCAGAAAAAAAAGCGAAACTTTTTCGATTACGAAAGTTACTTTTGCTGTCTGGCCATCTTATTGGGTGTTAATGGACTCTTCAGGATCTCTCCTGGTCATTTGAATGGCTTCTTATGCTGAGTTCTTTTTCCCAGCTCAAATTGCGCAAAATAAATACACATTTGCCGAGGCGGGGTGGGTGGTTAGTCTATTCCCCCAGGATTAGTGTCCTGCCTGCTTGGACCAACTTGGCTCAGCGAAAAGGTGTTGCCCGCCTGCCCATAAATAACCAAAAGTGTCAACATTTTATTTTGCTATTTTCTGCCAAGGTTTTTCTTTCTTTCTATCTTCTGTTTTCTTTTTTTTTTTCCTCCTTTCTGCCTCTTACCCATCAGGACCTTGCTTGCTACGCAGTGTTGCGTGCCTAAGCGAATCGGAAGGGCAGGGTCCTGGGGTCCTTTGGCTACTATTTGTTAATTTGCTGTGTGCTTCGGTGAGCGCGAAATTCAATTTAATTGAGCTGAGTGCCTGCCAGGCGGCCGGGCTCTCACACATTTCTCGCCGGATTTTATTGTGGCCTGTCGCAGCTTAAAAGCATTCCAAACTCTTGCCCCCCACAACCCCTCCCGCCCCTTCTATAGTGAACTGCATAAAAGATTCAGCAGCGCTTTTAACTTGGCTCTCTCTATCTCTATCTATCTATCTCTCTCTCTTTCTATGTAGCTTTTCCATCTCTTTTTTTCCACTTTTTCGCATCTTGTAGTTTTCTGCATTTTGCAATTTTCAACTTTGCCGAGTGTCAAGTTCTACCAGGCTGTCGCATAATGTGCAAAATTTGATGAAGTTGCCGTCTCCCAGAGACGTTTCCTCTGTAGCCCTCTTCTCTCTAATGCACTTTGTGAGCTCTATAGGATTTCCAGTTTTATTCCCCCCCCCCTCCCACCGCCTTCTTTCCATTCATGGCCCATAATTTTGTTTGCCACATTCCATTTTGCACCTCTTTTTGCCTGTCGGCCTGTGTGGCAGGTTCTATTTCCTTGGCGTGGGCTGCCTTATAAATTTGGTTTTAGCCAGCTATGTAGTTTTATTTTAGCCTCTGCTCTGGTTTTTGGTTTCGGGTTTAATCTTATGGCCAGGTTGGTGTGTAAAGCGTGTGAGTAATGGACAAGCCACAGCATCCTTTACCATATTATGTTGTCTTTTTTGCAATGATATCTGAGACGATCCGATCGGATCTCAAGCGGATACTTACCAATTATTCACTTGCAGTATCGTTAGGCCGGTGTCCTGGGCCAATTGTTTCTTCTGGTCCTCGGATGGGTAGGGATGCTGGAAGGAGACGAGAAAGAAACACGTTTAAGTTTATAATTTTTAAGGTTTTTAAAGTAAATTTATGAGTTTTTTGATGTAATAAAAGTATTATAACCCCCAACTTAACACCTTAGCATAACGAACAGGAGGTGGGTAAGCTGTTGCAGTGCCCAAAATTTACAATCTATCTGCCGAACTGGCCAAACAATCGATCAATCATGGCGGCAATAAAACCGAATGGGAACCTGTCAGCCCGCCTCGATGGCTGCACTTGAAAAGCGGGAATTTTCGGGTGTTTTTTTGTTTTATGTTTATCAGTGTGCCTGGGTTGCAGTGCCAATGCCTCGGTTCTTATCAGCAGTGCCACTCAAAGTGTCCTCAATTGGCCCGCTACCTCAATGGGTTAAGGGATCTAGAGGGGGTTAGGGGTTAAGGGGTGGCAGAGGAGGGCAATGCAATTGGAACGCGTGTCTAGCGCCAAATGGGCAAACAAAAAGCCAACGAATAGTCCACTTCCCATAAATCTTGCAGTCGAACCGCCGACACAGTGGCGTCAGTGGGTAAATAGTGCTAGTAAAGTGAAAGTGCCACACCCCTTTAAGGGAGTACAGCCTACCAAATGCCCAGCAGCAGCAGCGGCTAGCGGCTATTCTAATCACTTGGCCTGGCCTGGTCTGGCCTGGCGCTTATTACAATTTGTTTTATTTGCCTAGTTGTTGTGCACTTTTTGTTGATTCAATGATTTCGATCGCAGCACAAATTCACTTTATTAATGCTGGTAGAGGTGTTACACTGAGAGAAAAGTTTGGAATACTTTTAAAGGAGTCAAAATGAGAGAAAATTATGCCTTTTTGGTATATAAAAAGCTTAAAAAGTATGGAAAAAGTGAAGAAACTTTTAAGATTTCAATTTCGATTTCAACCCACTTTTCTCTGTGTAAGCATTGAATGGGTTCAACCAGTCACCTGGCGGCTGTCAAAAAATGTATTTCTAAGGATCTCCGTTCAGCGGAAGTTTCCGTCAAATGATTTTGGCTTTGTTTCGCCCTCGACAAAAATCGGGAATAAACTTGTGCGCGTGCCCCGACGAGGACGACGAAGAAGGAGTCCTTTGTGTTTTAACCCTCGGACTGGCACTGCGCCACAATCGTTTCCGGCAGCTGTGGGCGGTTCCTTCTGCTTATTTTTCTTTTTTCAGCCACTCGTCACCAGTCGATAATTGTGATTCGAGTAGATCCCTTATAGCCCCCATACCATATAAGCCAAAGTAAATGCAATTTTGTCCTTGGCTCCTGTGGCTAAGAAATTGTTTTGGCAATTTACGATGGCCAACCGAAAAATATATGAACTGTCAACCAAACACACAGTCAGAGCGAGAGGAGAGAGCACACACAGACCCGACCCGTGGGGTTAAAACCTATAAGGCGGGGCCATTGCAATCGAAATGTGCAACGCTGCACATCCTTGTCTTTGTCTGTATTTGTATAGCTGTGTGTGTGTGTGTGTGTGTGAATGTCTCGGCATGTCCTGTAATGCAATTTAGTTGCCGTTGTTGTTATCCTGCAGAGAAATAGTAGGAGAAGGACTAGTAGTTGCGGCTCCTTAAATGCATTTTCCTTATTGTTTGTGTTTAATAAATTTTACGTGTTGTCTTGCTCTGCCTGTCCCAATGTCCAAATAGGACATTGCCTGCCCGGCAGCAATAGTTGTTTGCTGTCCTGTCGAGGCCAGGACTTTCTAGCCTGACACGCCCGCACTTTGGACTAACAACAACAAACAAGAAGAAGAACAACAACAATAAGAACAAACAGCAGATACCAAATACTATATGAAATTTGCGTATTGACAAATAAACGTAGAAGCCATGTAAATACAATGGACATGCCAATGGCAATGTTAACCCATTCCAAGATGACTGCACCTCGTCTTCTCTCCTCCCCCCCTCTCTCTCTCTCTCTCTCTCACTCGTTGTCCATAACAAAATGTTCAAGAAGTCAGAAGGCATAAATTACATGCAGGTAAATTAAAACGGAATTTATAGCATACTTTGTGGCGCACATCTATTTGCCAAGAGATGGCTTTCTCAAAAGGAAATGTATGGTAGGTGTGGGTGTTGTGGGTCGGTTTTTAGATGCAGGTGGAGCCTGGTTATTGATTTGATGTTGTGGCCAACACAAGCCGAGACATCTGGCAATAGCAGGAACAACTTTGTGGTTGTCAATGAGCAAAAGGAATGGTGTCTGGCCAAAGTTACGAATAATTAAGAGAGAGAGAGTCTAAAATATATTTCGAATTTTATTACCAGCAAAAGGAATGTTTATACCTGCTAGTTTCAAGGTAAACAGCCTTAAGCAACTTGGTAGTTGGAAATTAACATTAGTTTTGAGTAAGAAAAAGAGATCATAGGAAACTCCCTTATAAGCTTTTTCTTCTCATCTAAAATCTTGCAAGAGCAGTAACAAACCCACAAAGACAAAGATTTCTTTAGCAACTATAAATACGACTGACTTGCCCTAACTGCATATAATCCTTGATATATATATATATATATAGTAACTGGCAGGTCAAGTTCGTTGACTTGGGGGATCAGAAGTGGATATAATTCATTTGCAAAAGCTTTTCTTTCAACGCCTACTCTTCAGCTATGTGTGTGTGTTTGTGTTTGTACTCCCAAGAGCTTAGTACTATCTCTCCACAACACTCTTCTGCCTCTGTCTGCTTAAGCGTTTTTCTTTCAGCTGCATTTTGTTGCACCAATTAGACTAATGAAAGCAATTATGCATTTCGCACTCACACAGAGATAGAGAAAGAGAGTGCATAACATGTCAAGTAGAAACAAAGTCCATTTGGTTTATTAATTTACCATACGACAAAATAATTAATTACTGTCACGCCTTTAAGTTGTCGCCCCAACCCAGCCTGTGCTCTGTCTTTGTCTGTCCCAGAGCTGGCCGTCTCTTTCCTTCTGATTTCTGCCTTCTGTCTGCTGTGGCAACTTAACTCGCTCCACTTTAGCTTCTCTTTTTTTGTATTTTTTACCAACATATTTTCACTTTGTTGTGTGTTTATTTAAACTTGGCAAATGAATTTAAAACAATCATCGCACACAGATGAGTCTTAGGGGTAGGGAGAAGAGTGTGCAGGGAAGGGGGAGGGCTCCCCCTGCTGACAAGTGGGGGGTTGCCCAAGGCAACCAAAGAGAGGCCCCCTTTTCATTGGACCTGGGCCCAATGATGTCAACATGACTGCAACGCCGTGACACATGGCACAACAAGCCCAAGAAGTCTGCACTCACCGCCACCAGCCCCCTTTCATGATACCCGCCCATGTCCGCCTATCCATGGCACACATGAAGCACCAACAACAGCAACAACAACAACAACGAGCAACCAAGCGATGCCGACGCCATTAACAACGCCAAATGCGACGCCATTTGTGAAACAAGCCAACGGCAATAGCAACAACTTCTGCTGCCGCTGCAACAGCAACAACAACACCAACAACAACGTTGGCTGCAAATTGCCGCGGTGAAAATTGCATTGCCACAGCGAAGAAAAGGCGACTGTTGGCCATTATGAAGATTTTTTCCAGTCTAAACAAAGCCAAATGAGTGTTTTTCCCTCGCTTTTTCCCCGCCTTTTGCGGAAAGCCCCCAATGATAAGGTTAGCTAGAAGGCCCAGCTGTAATCGCAATGTTGCCCCTTTCCCCTAACTTTGTGGGGCAAGGAAAAAAAATCATAATAATATGCAAGATGAGTGGGGGAGTAGAGGGTTATATAGTTATGAAGATGCTCTATGATTAAGAGGTCATGAAAGGGATTAGAAAATAAATAGAAAAGAGATTTTAGTTTGTTTTAAAGGGAATAAACGAGAGATTTTGTTTAAGATTTAATTAGAAAATCCTTAAAGGGGGGAATTAATAAGAAAACTTGAAAGGAATTTAGAATTCTTATAGATAGTTTTCTATAGTTTAATGCCTAATAACTTCTCTTAACTTTCCGCAGCGCATTAGAGCTTCGTTTTCAGCCGACACCTTCAGCCATGCCACACACTAAGCGCCGTTGCAACATGACTCGCTGACAACAATGCAACTCTTTCACCGCTACGGCACCTAATTCCCCTGCTTCTCGAAAGCAACCCATCGTCGTTTTGTGAAAAACCCCTTTCGACCTCCTCCTCCTCGCCCCCTCCTCCCTGTATGGCTTCCTTTGGCCATTTTGCCATGGCTTAACATTTCGCGCTCTGTGCAAATTTTTTTCTTGTTTTTTTTTTCGGGGTTGCAAGTTGCAACGGCAACGGCAACGGCAACGTCAGAACGTAGGCCCAAAAGCAGAACAGCAGAACATACAGACAGCCGGAAGAAAATTGCCGGCGAGGGAGGGTTTCGGTTTTTATTCGGTGCGGTGGGGGGCAGAAGGGGAAAATCGAGAATGGGAACGGACCTGGGGCATATGGGCAAACTGCATACACATGTGGCTAACTGCTCGAGTAGGCGGAGCACGCGAAATGAGAGTTTTTTTTTTTCGCCTGGTGTTGTTGTTGCTGTTGCTGTTGCCTTGGTATTGCTGTTGTTGTTGGCTGTCTGCAATGCGCGCCAAATGTAAACAAAATATTCGCGCGCCTGCCATAATTATGGCAACCAAGCAACAACAACAACAACAACTGCAACAGCAACTACAAATACATTTTTGCAACAACGGCAATCAGCCCATAAGCAACAACAAGGCAGCCATGCAATGCCCTCAATGTTGCTGTTGTTGCTGCCAACGTCTGCGTCTGCCTTTTGTTTTTTGGTTGGCCAGTCAGTTAACCCGGCCCCAAGCACCCCGCCCCCTCTGTTTTGTTTTTTTTGTATATATCCAGAATGCAATGCACTTCATTAGCACCATCATTGCGGTCTTATTTGGGGTCTGTCTTATACGGATTTCGATGGCTTTTCGCGGGACATCTCGGTAAGGGAGTTTGTAGTTGGCAAAAATGGGACAGTTTTTGGTTTACTAGATAAGTTATTAGTGGGAAATATTAACTATTTATGATTTTAGATTTTAGTTTTAAGTGTCAAAAACCTTTCTTTCACAGACTTCTTGTTCCAGCTTCTTTCATATTAAGCTAATTCCCAGACCTTTCAAAGCCTCTCTCCTCCCTTTAAACTTAATTATTCGAAAAGTCCAATAAATCAAATTGGCAATCATTGCATTATGCCAAATCGAACGCCTTTGAATACGAAATTAAAGTTTCAAACGCATGTCGTTGGCGTAAAAGAAAAACAATTTCCCTAATGCGTTGAAAAACTGTTAATGGCATTAAGCAGGGACGGGCCCGAGTCAGTCAAGGATGTGCAGGCTCTGGTTGAAAGTCGAGACGCTGCCGCTGCCGCTGGGCAAACATGAGTGATGCGCTGATTTAAACGGCAATTCATCAATGTCATTGAGGGTTTGGGGGGGAAATGGGGGTGGTTGGGCTAATGCTTCTTCCGTTTACTTTACTTTACGCCTTAGGGGGTGGCTGACTAGCTGGCTGGCTGGCATTTTAAAACGTTTTCATTTTCGGGGGCTACATTTTGGGCCAGAAACGCAGCCTCAACTTTAATTTCCGATTCGCTGGCTTATCGTTTTGGTCAGCTTTTGGTCGTTAACATTGGCCACACACACACTCTGCCAGTCGCTTACCAAATTCCATTAAGATTTCTATCATTTTACATACGCAGCAGCAGTGGCAGTAGCAGACTTACAAAAAATCCCCCCCCAAAAACTAATGGGCAAAAAACGTAGTTGGTACTTCCTTGACCCGCGTCCAGCATAAAATCTTATAGTTTTGTTTGGCTCTTTCTTGGCTCGACCGCATATTCAACCCTTGGCCACCTTTCCCCCTTTTTCACCCCCTTTTCTCCCCCTTTTTCTTGCTTGCTTAACATAAAGTGGCGCATAACAAATCTGTTTATTTGTATTACACATCCGTTGGCTTGGACTCTGGACTTCCGTTTGGCATCTCCGAAAGAACCGAGAAAAAGGAACTTTGAACTGCAGTTTCTGTGCTTTGAATAGTTATTGCCATTGCCATTGGCAATTTGTTTTTAGTGCCGCATTTCGAGGCCGTTTAGCCAAGCTCTTTGATGGCCCCAAAAATGGAAATCTAATTGGACTCGATGACCGGTCAAAGAAGCTCTACAAGATGATCCCAAAAAAAAAGAGAGAAAAAAGGGTAAATGGCTAAATGGTTGCTTAGGCCGAGTGAGTGGTCTGCGATTGGACTTGGCCAAGCTGATTTAAGGGGTTAGAAAGGCGGGGGAAAGCTCTTCAGTTCTGATCAAGTACAGCACACACACACGGACAATCTTGTTTGCATTTCCCACCCTAATGGCCATATAATCAAGGTTCCAAATGGCGCCTACCCTGGCTGTGCTATCGTTTACATCATCGTGCAGGCTTTCCCCCTCTTTTTGCCTTTACTTGCTAGCCTTTCCCTAACCACCCACTGTGCCTCCGCCGCCGCCGCCCATTGACGCAGGCCATTCATTGGAGCCCAGGCGGTAATCTTATCAACCTGCCACACGTTTGGAAAAAACAAACGAAAATAAAACAATAGCTGCACTGAGAGAAAGATGGGGGGAAGTTAAAGTTGTCTTTTTGCTTAAATTTCCTAAATTGTTTTTTAAATATTGAAAAAATTTGAAATTTTAAGAATTTAAGTTTAATATTTTTAGTTTTTATGCAGTTTAAACTTCAAATACTTTCCCCTTGGTGTGGCTTAACCATATTCTTATCAGACTTTTGGGGGTTTGGTTTAGTTTCTAGTGGGTGGGGCCAGGCCCACAGCCAGTCAGAGAGATTTCCATTGAGATCGCGATAACATCTCTGACGTGCCGTTAAGCTATTGGCCAGAAATCTGAGGTGGAAAACGGTAAGGTAATGCTGCTACTCACCGTTAAATGCTGAAACAGCCACGCTCTCAAAATGTTGGTTGCTACTTTTGGGAAAATGCCACGTTTCTTTTGGTTCTTTTTGCCGCTCGCATCGTCGTCCTCCTCGCCGGTGCCCTCACCACTTCCTATGCTGGCATTGCTGGCATCACCTGGAAAATTATAAAAAGAGATGGTTAGGTTAGAAGAGTGTGTGGTAAAAGGGGGGTAGGGGGTAAGGGGGTTTATTTCTACTTCTTCCTAGGCCTATGTCAATATTATCATACACTATCCTATGTAGCTGCTAGCCCCCAAAGACTGCCACTACTACTACTGCTCGAAGACAAGACTTCTGTGTTTGCTGTTCTGGTTTATGGCTGTTTGTGAAGTGGGCATAAAATTACTCAGCTCCGGTCGTAACGACGATAATCATATGGATGACATTGTTTGTGACTGCAGGTCAGTAGACTGGGTTCTCTCTCTCTTTAGGCTCTATGGCAAGTACTTGTTTATAAACAAAATTAATATTTGTCAGAGGCTGTGGCTCTGGCTGCTTTGGTAATGTTCCTGCATAATTTTTGGTTAATTTAAACTCCCCCCAGAAATGGCTTTTATCTTTTGTGTTTGCCTTGTTGGCCCCAAAAATCTTTTGGCCAGGCATTTCCTGTGTGTATGCTTTCCTTTTCATCATTATAATCATCATCATCATCATCATCATCTAGATGACTGGATCTCTCTCTCTCTACCCCTAGTCTTATGTATATTTTTGTTTAATATTAAGTATGTTATTTGTGTGTTTACTTAAAGTTTTAGTTACACTTAAGTAACTCAAATGCCAGCAAACAGGAAGCCCCCAAACGCTGCGCACATGCAAACAAAATAAACCAGACCAACCGACGGACCCCTCTAACCTCAAGAAAAACCATCCATGGATTGCATAATTTCACGCTCCTTCCTCAATGATGATGATTTTTTGGTAGAGTGGAGGAGAGTGAAGGAAGATAGAGAGAGGGGGGGCGGGGCAATAAACCAAAACAAATATTGGCCAACAAGCAAAGGCAGGCAAATGTCTAACTTGGTAGCCTTCGCTTAATTCCTTCATAAATTTTCCATGCTTTATCTTTTGCACAACACCTTTGGCATTTGCTTTCGCTCCACCTTCACTTTGGCTGCTTTTCATTAATTTTTCAGTTAACTCATTCATTAATTTTCACAAACACCCAAACACACACATAGCCACACCTTAAATCCAAAACACTCAAACATTTCAATGGGGTGGCAGACTTCACGCCATTTTGCGTAAACCGGAAGTTCGTTTTGATTAATTTAGTCGCCGATGGAGACGTTCGCTTGTCGAGTGGTCAGAAAAGTGCAGAGGTAGAGGGCTTTCGTTTCCAAATAGGCCATAAAACAAAACCCGATGGCAGCAGACCAAATAAAAAACATAAAAAAACCAAACAGAAAACTGGCCTTCTCTTTGAGTGAGAAAAGGCAGACCTAGCTATACCCTCTTTGGAGATAGGGGAAATCTGGGAAATGAAGAACTTTACATTTTGTTTAGTTTATATTTACAAATTATTATAATTTTATAACTTAATATTCAATAGGGAAAAACCTAAGGAAAACCAAGGCCCTTCCAATCAAGAAAAGCAGAAAATTGTTAGCTACAAAAACAGAGTCACTAACCAAATCAGTGGAGCCCCACAAGCCGGAAAAGTTATAAAATTAATTTACCAGAAAGAAGAAGAAGAAAAAACCAAAAAAAAAACAAAGGAAAAGCCGAAAAACGTAAACAAAAGAAGTTTCCCAAAAAAAAAACAATCACTTGTTGGAACCTTTCTAGCGCCTTTCGCCCACGTCCATTGTTTGCATAATTTAGCAATTATGGAAATGGAAATGCGTTTCAGCCTGGTCTATATAGTAAGAGTGTGTTTATATATATATACATATATATATATATAGTAAGAGATTCCAACGGAATCTGGCCAAATGAGTGGGGAGAGGCCAAGAAGAAGGCGACGTCCATTACACAAAGCTTATCGAGCACTGTGAGCTGCACTTTAGTTGCCAAGAGCCGAGCAGAAAGCTAGCTGCTGGCACTTAACAACTTCATTAAAAGTTGTTTATGATCCTCGAAATTGATTATTCCACTCATTTGGTTGTAGGGAGGGGGCGGTGGGTAAAGGGGGTGCATCACCAAAACCCCGCACACCTCTCAAAGAGTTGGTGGGGCACTCAAATCGCGACGGGCGCGCGCTTAAGAAAACATGAAATTGATTAATGCATTTGCCTGCAACATGGGATGGTCAGGAGTTGGAGATGCAGATGGGTCGTCGTCGTCGTCGTCTGGCGGGGATCTGGCCTGGCCCTGGCTGTGGCCCTGGCTCTGGCCTGGGTATCTGTTGGTGATATGTAAATTCCTTCAAGTGGATTGCACTTTACGCCGACTGCAAGTTCGGTTTGCGGTGTTTGGTGTATGTGCTCCCATTTCCATTTTCTTTACTTGGTTTTTTACCCCTACCCCCTCTTTTTCCCTCTCTTTTTACCCCCTTTTTCCCCCCTTTTTCCCTTTTTTTCTCTTTACTTTTTCTGAGAGACTGAAACACAATTAATCTTTGGCCAGAGCCGCATCTTCTGGCTCGCTTATTATTGTTATAATAACGATGTGCAAAAGCACTTGTGCCACTTGAAAGGGCACTCGTGTTCTCAAGAGGTATGGATGGGGGGGTGAGTAGGGAGGGAGGGGGAAAACCGATTAGGACGCGGTGCGTTTTCGTAGCTTTTTCCCAAAGTGCTTTTCGCTGTAGAGCGATAAAGGCGCTTGCATTTTTGCTTTTAATTGAATTGTTAAGCGCAGCGCAAAACTTAATTAATTTTCACTATAACTTTGTGGACTTTATGGTGCCCGCTCAATACCCAATAAGTTTGCTTTTGCTAGGAAGAGAGGGAAAGGCTAAAGAGGAGGGAAATAAATTTGATGGCAGGGCAATTTTCGTGGGTGGCTAACAAACACAAACACAAACTTACACACACACACGCTGAACTCCAGCTTCTGCAAGCATTTTTATTTATTATTGGCTTAAAGGACGAAGGATGCAGGAGCCAAAGACGCAAAAGCAGACAGATATATATATATATATATGTATATATATATATATATAGACGATGTGTGTGTTGTTATTATGGCAAAAAAAAAAAGTTGCCAAAAAAAAAGAAGGAAACTACAGTTGGTCTGCCTTGCTGGCCACATTTTCATGTTTGTTTTTGGTACGCTCTCGTTTTTTCTCTTTTTTTCCTGCCTTCTACAATTGCGCAAAATTCCAATTTGCAGTAAATTTTGCGATTTTTCCTTTATACGGGCATACAAAACATTTTTAGTTTCCTGCTGGCTTTTCCTTTTCCTTTTCCTTCCGTCTTGCCACCCCACAGAATGCAATTATAGAGTAAAGCTGACAAAAACCCAAATGCTACGAGATGCGACTTGCGGAAACTTGGCCCGATTGATTAAGATTTTAGCAGAGACCAGCAGACTCCAATAAATTCCACTTTTCTGTGACTAGTTTTGGTGTTAAAAAACTAAAAGAAAGTAAGGATTAAACAGGCTCCTTTAAGCTAGAATATTTCCATAGAAAAGTTTCCTTTTTTCTTTTTGGGTTTGTACAAAATTCTAAAATTCTATTTGAATAAAGACCAGCACAGGAATGGCATTTCTTGTATAGCCTGCATAAAATTCAATAACAAAATGCACTTTTCCACCCGTCAAGTTGCAGCAGGAAAAACAAACAAAATTGCTTTTTCTCCTAGCAGACAAGAAGCGAATGGAGAAAGACAGTGAGGGCTATAGATATTTTCCCTCTCTAGCTGGCTGGCTGGCTGGCTGGCTGGCTGGCAAAATATTTCCAAACTACTTGACTGGGGTAGGTGGTGGGGGTGGGTGAAAATCGTAGCAGTTTTCAATTAGTTTTTAAATAAACTTTTCCACCGCACCAACTGAGAAACGCCAAATGCTACCGCAGAAGAAAACTTTCCATTTTCCAATTGGCGTTGGCGATGGGTGTAGAGCCAGCAGAGCCAGCAGAGCTCTGGCAGAGTTTTTTCCAAGTTTGTTTATACAAATCCATGCCAATCGTCTGTCAATCATTTTCCAATGGGAACGAGGTACGAGTTTAACATGGCGGAAGTCTGCTTAAGCTCATCGGCTTGTAGAGTATTTTGTGTTTTTCTTTTCTCCACCCCCTATACTCCTCCGCCTTCTCCAACCTCCAACCTCCTCCCTCTTCTTCTCCTTCATCTCCTAGCTAACTAATTGAGTTTGGCCCGAAATGATAATAAACAGCATCGGCGGTCTAGGCCCGGTTAATTGAATTCAAAACATGTCAGAAAGAAATCAGCCATTCAGCAGCCGCCTGGGTGGCCAAAAAGAGACGCCCTTAAGCGGCATTTTTGTCATCAGCTGCAGCTTGGCAAACACACACACACACACACATATACACTCTACCAAAACCCTGGCTCAAGTGTTGGCCAAGAAGCTGTGCTTGAGCCAAGTACTTCAAAAGAAGAAAAAGAAGAAGTAAAAACAGAAGCGCCTGACAAAAGCCCTGGAAAGGGCGTCATCATCATCACGTTCATCTTGTTTATGCCTTGTCAAGTGGGTGGCAGCGGCTATGTACAGTAAACACTCGAGTTCTGGGCAAACCAAAATGATGAGTGAATGAGACCTCCGAGGTGTTAGCCGCCCGCTTATTAGCCAACTTGATGCCAGAGATTTATGGCCTGGCATTTATTGTTTATGAAACGCGTTATTGAATCTCCAACGAACCCAGTGATAAACATGGCCAATTCATTTTGGTTTAGACATTGACCAGTTAAGTGATATGCATACGATCGGCAAATTAATAAGGCTTAAGTGCCAATGGCAAATGGCTTAATTAAACATGCCATAGTTTGGCTTTGCTTGGTTTGGCAATCGCCTATGAGTTATGGTTAGTGGTAGAGGGGGGAAAAACTGGGAAATTAATGGAAAATTTTTGAGACTCTTTAAAGAGGGAAAGCTGACTCTATAGTTAAGAAGTTAAAATATTTTCTTTAACTAGGAAAATAGAAGTCTTTTCTTCCTTTTTTCATAATCACTTTTAAGTTCTAGATTAGGAAATCCCTTTCCCATTTCCCTTGCAATTTTCATAGGCCATTGCCAAAGGGGGAAAGAACTGCAAATTATCGGAGCCCGCAAAATGATGATGGATCACCCAATCGCGCAACGCCATAAAACGGCAACAAGTCAATAAGAACATCGACCAGAGCTCAGGCATATGGCAGGCCAGACTCCAAAGTCAATACCAATTTTTGTGGCCATTTTTTGTCAGATTTTTTTCGTTGTGTTTGTTGTTCTCAGGCGCAGGCATACAAAAAACAGTTTGAAGTATTAACACAAAAGCCGCTTTAGCTTTTGGCTTTGCCAACCAAACACACACTCCAATAAACATATATATATATAGCTATAGAGCTATAGAGAAGCAGGCTTTTTATGGAGGATTTGTGTGATCCGCTGCAATATTTTGAGCTGGCCAGCAACAAGCAACAACCATCATCATTGTCGGCTTTTGTTGCATTGTTTTTGGCCAGCAAACAAACCAGCAGTGAGGGTGGGGAGGGGGTTTGGGGGACTATAATAATAATAAAAATAATAATAATAATGTTGCAAAGGGGGAAAAAAAGAAGTCTGGCGATGCTGCAACATGTTCATGCCTCATTATTTTCGTACGGATTTTTGCGGTTCGCCTTGGACTCTTTGGATATTTGGTTCTCAGGCCGATGCGCTGCATGGCGTGGAGTTCATTCAATAGGCTTAAAGAAAACGAACGAAAAAAAAACAAAAAACTCAATGGCTGGCAGAAAAGTTTATTAAAATTCCAGACCAAAAGCCAACACATGTTTTCACGCCTACGAAGAGAAAAAGCGCGCAGTGCGGCTAAAGAAAAAGAAATGAAGGAAAAAGCTGACAGAGCACCGCCTTATATGCAGATTAGCCGTGACTCGACTCGACTCTCCTCCCCACATATGCAAAATCAAATTATTCAAATTCAATTATTGTCAATTTTATTTATTATTAATGCGCATAATTGTCAAATTTGCCAAATTTATGGACCCCCTCTCTCTCTCTCTCTCTTGCCTGTTTTGCTGTTTCTTTTTTTTTTTGTTAAGCTTTCGTATGCAAATGGCGGCAAGACAAGATTTTAGCGCTCGAATTTATGAGACATGTTGAAATGCATCTCACCTTGCCGGGACTGGGCTGTCTTGGAACTGAGTCCCAAAATAAGACTCAGAAGAAATGCCAGACAGGAACAGAGCCTGAGCTCTGGTCTGTTGATCTGCCACCAAGGGAGTTGGCCGGGAAGATTAATGGCAGCGTTTTTAATTTGTTTTTGGTCCCCATTTCAGGTATTCATTACTCTTTATGCACTCGCATTGACACCTTTTCTTGTTTTATTTTTTTTTGTATTTCAAAGGCAAATGGCAAATGGGGGGGCCCCACAGGTGAGTGACTGGAATTTGATTTGGTTTTTTATTCTATTTTTTTCGTATTTACATGATATTAAGCCATTCATAAGCGTGTAATTTCGTTTAGCACACGAAGTGGGCATAAAAAAACTGATTTTTTCCTGACATCATAATTGCAGTTGCGCCAAATTCAAGGCGGTCCCAGACATTCTGCTTCCTTTTCCCTGCCTTTTGCCTTGTTTTTTCCTACTTTTTCTTGTTTTTTCCTACTTTTTCTTGTTTTTTCTTTTTAATAATAACACACACAGAAAATGCTTTTTAAACAGCCTGAAAATTATAACGCATCAGTCACGAAAACAACGAAGACAACGAGACTTTGGCTGCATATTTTTATTTCCTCTTTTTTTTTGCTGTTATTTCCTGTTGGGGTTTTCCCTTCCCCTCCTCCTCCGCTGACCTGTGAAAATCTTGGTTTTTTCTCTCTCTGTATGTTGTTACCCCATTTTGTGCAGCTTTGTCGGCCATATTGGAGGGGAAAAGTCTGGGCCCAGAAAGAGTGTGCGAAAGAGAGGTTTAATGCAAGGAAAGAAAGAGAAAGAAAACAGGGAGCAAAGTGCAAAAACTTGAGAGGGCGAGGGAACTACCGCCGCACAAAATGGTTTATTAGATTGAAAAACGAGAGAAAAGAAAAACTGGAATCTTGGCTTGGGGGAATATGCAAATCAAGTTAAGTAACCGACGGCATAAATTAAAAATAAACAGAAAAAAGAATCTAAATGCGAGATGGGAGATCAGATGGAATGAATCTCCGTCGAGCCGCTCGGCAACTGTCCAATAATAATGAAATATTTCCAACTCTAAAACCGCCAAAAAACTAGACAAAAACCAAGCACACACTTTGTATGGCCCAAGAGTGTGCGTGTGTGTGTGGTGTTATTTATGTTCTCCCTACTAATTTTGAATTTGAATCTGTTTCTGTTTGTTAGCTGTGACCTTTGGGGCCTATATCGATATGTATTTTTTCTTAATTTTTGAAAGCGTATTAAATTACGAAACGTGGAAAGGGGGGAGGGCCCCCATCCGCCAGAACCGAAATTGAAACAAGAATTTCAAGTATGTTTAACCCAAAACACACATTGAGAAGAAGGAGAGAGAAGAGAAAGAAAAACAAGAACCAAAAACCAAAACCAAAACCAAAACCGAAACAGAATCAAAATCCGAATCCGAATCCGAATCAGAGTGGAGTGAAGTTTCTCGTTGTTGGAGGAGAGTTTGGCGCGGCTCTGGAGGCTTAAAGTATTTCACAGGAAATCTTCGGAAACGCAAAACCCAAACAGCAACAATATGTTCTACACATTTCTTTCGGCCCCTACCCCGCTCTTTCTGCTTGCTCCTCTCTCCTCCTCCCCCCACTCACTGTGAGAGAAATCGAAATCCCAAAAACTAAATCCTATAATGCCTGCGCGAGGGGCGCACACACAACGCATACCCATCGAAGAAAACAAAAAAAATAAAATCGACAAAAATCCGACCCGCACTCACGCACGGCTACATTTTGAAATATCTCATCGTGTGTGAGTATTCAGCTTGGTATTTCTTTTTTCTTCATACAAAGATATATATATATATTTATATATATTGCCTTTTTGTTTCACATCCCCAACCAGGTCCAAGTCCCTGCCCCCTTCACAGAGCGTACGCTCAACTCTATAATAATGATAAGATGGCTCTTAATCACAAAATTTATATGTGCCCCGGCATTTAGTTGTTCCTTCTCTGCAGCAGCACCAGTAAAGGCCAGAAATCAAAGGGATCTGTAAACTGAAAACAGAAATCAGAGAAAACTCAAAACCTGGGCCCCAGACCGTAGCTGAAACTGAACTGATGATGGGTTATGCGCGTTTATAATTATGGGTCCTGTCATTCTTCAGCTCAAAGTCTACAATTTTCAGTTTAGTGCAGGACAGAGATAGCCCCCTGACATCATCTTCTCTCTCTCTCTCTCTCTTTCATTGACTGCTGCAGCCAACCCAAAACTCTGAAAAGTCAGAGGCGTGGTCGACAGGCTTGGCCCACTTGATTTTGGTAATCAAAATTATAAGAATTATAAGGAGAAAGCTTACCGCTTGCACTCGTTCCGAAGTTGTCTGCAAGTAGAGTTAAAAAAAAGAATACAAAAATTAGTTTAATTATTTGTTAAGTTTATTAGTTGGTTGTTAAAAAAGAAATCAAAACAATAACTTAAAACATTTCTCAAAACCTAAACATAATAAATCTTCTTTCCAGAAACCAAAACACAAAAATGTTGAGGAAAAAATTGAAATATTTCCTGCAGACTTCTTCTGACCGCAAACTGTTGTTGGATTTCACTGGCTATAAAGTATGAAATATATATATATTCACACGCTGAAGGGTCAAGCTAGGGGTGGGGGGCGTTGGGCAATCAATCAAAACTATGAGAAAATATTTGGAGCAAATCAAATGCAGCCTCGCAAAGAAAACAAAAGATGAAGCCAACTTTTTTTTCGGTTCCAAAATTTGATTTTATTACCTCTTTTTTTTGTATTTCTAGAGCTTGGCCATAACTTTGTTTGGCTTTTTCGCACGCAAATCATTTTTGTTGTTAGCCAAATTGGGTTTTTTTTGGGAGGTTTTTTATGATTTTTGGCCAAAAGGCATTATGCAAATCTCTGCTTGCCGGTTTTAAGATATCTAAAAACATAATACCCGATCGGTGAGAGATCTTCTGCCTGGGTTTTGTTAAGGATTGGGAACAGCTCTTCTTTTCTATAATCTTTCATAAGCTGTGAACCAGAAAGTATGGCTAATAAAGCAAACAACCAGCTTTTGTCTTTTAGTGGATTTTTTCCCCCCCTTGACTTTTCGATATTTCCCTTCTACCTTTTTTTTGATTTTTTCCTCCTACCTTTGCCATATCATTGGGTGTCATTTAGTCAGTTTGTAATGACATGGCTAAGAGTATTTTGTGAACTTGGCTTTTGAGGTTGGCCAGCCATCCAGCCAGCTCAATTGCAGCCTTGGCATCCCGCAATGGACGCGTTCTTCTTGTCATTTAAGTCATCGAACACGCATTGGTACATTGTACACAGTGTCGGTGTCGGGTTTGTTGTCCCCATCTCTGTTTCTCTATCTCTTTCTGATCAGCAACTCCTTCTCTCTCTCTCTCTCTCTCTGTCGCTCTGAATGTCAGTGTCCTGGAACGGCCATCAGACCAGACCAAGTTACCAAGTTACCAAGAGTTCCATAGGAGGATACCCAGCCCCATGCCCCCGAAGCAGTTCATAAATAATCGTCTTAAGTTGATGGCAATGCGGTGACTGTCGACGATTGCTGGGTGGCACTCGTTGCAGTTGATGGTACACCGAAAGAAATAAAGTTTTTAAAGCTAAAATATATCTAGAAATTGTAGAACCAAAAGCTTAGTTTGAGATATATCCTAGGGAAAAGCTTTTCCTTAGATTTCTAATACTTTCCTTAACTTTTCCTTACTTTCTACCCATACCCTTTTTCTTTCTGTGCAGCTTTTCGGCTTGGCTTTTTGGATTTAAGCCCGGGTGCTTAACATTGCAGTTCGAAAATGAAAAGGCTCGGGAATTTATCAGCGCTGCTGCAGAAAGAAAGCAAAGGCTGCTTGGGAAACGTTCAGAAATTCCAAAAACGTTTCAATGAATGTCAGCAACGCATTGCTTCAATTTTGTTCTCAACTTTTCTTGTTTTTTTTTTTGTTAACCCCCCCTCTCCCCTCTCCATCTCACTACATACAGACTTGCCTGTCGTGTCTGATCCCATTTTAATATTCTAGATACTTAAATAAAGTACGTGTCTGGCCTGGGCAACAAACGTTTATTGTTTGTTAATTGATTTCGCAGCCCAAAGTTCTGGTTAAAATGCAAAGTGCAGCTTTTTTTTTCCTGAGTTCAGCGGAGAGTGAGACAGAGACACAGGGAGAGAGAGAGAGAGAGGGGTAAATAACAAAACGAAAAGGCAAAACTTTGGCATGGCACATTTGGTATGCAAAATTTGTTTGCCTTTCGGGCCAGGCCAAGATCGCTTTGCTGGCTCGCTCGCTTCCTCTTGAGCTCTTCTCTCTTCTCGCGCCGTCTTTTTTGGCCGCAATTAATTTGCAGACAGTGAATCAGCCTTGAGGCTTCTTTAAGCAGTTGACAATTGTCAAGGACTGCGACAACTTGGCGGCACAACTTGTCTCGTTGTTGGTTGTTCATTGCTGTTGTTGTTGTTGTTGTTTTCTACCTTGCAACCTGACAGCTGACAGTTGCGAGAGACTTTGCCTCGGACTTGGGTCATTTAACGGTAATTACCAAAATGCTGGCCGAACAAAAAGCTTTCCGCGAACGTTGGAAAACGCTAGGAAATGTTTTTTTTTCCTAGTTTTAGCCGACTTTCGGAAGAGCAGCAAGAGCTGGACTGGCTGGCTGAAAGAGCAGCTCAAGTGCCGACAAAGCCAAAGCGGCCAAGTGAAGCATAAAAATGAAGCACCCAAAACGAAGAAAAACCTCAAAAAATGGCAGAGCCACAAATAGAAGTAGAAGTTTGTATACACTAAGAAAGATTGGGATTAAGAATAATGGGGTTAACCCAAAAAATAAGCAAATCATATAGAATTAAGCCCCAGAAATGGTTAAGAAGTCATGACTTCTTTCAGGAATATCCCCAAAAATCTTTCTTCTTACAACTTTTTAGAGCCTTTACCCTATAAACTAGCCTACATAATCCTTGTTTTCTTTAAGCATCAACCAATACTGTGTTTTTTTCCAGTGTAGTTACCCTGGCACACGATTTTCCATTTGGCCAGAGCCGAGCTGCGCGAGACTCTCGAGCGCGACTCACAGTCTATTTATGTGACTATTGAAGTGGGCTTTCTGTTCACTTTCTGGGGCCTCCTCTTCAGCGGATTCAGAGTTGGAGATGGAGTTGGAGTTGGAAGTTCGAGTCCATACTCCATAATACTACAGAACCTGAAGAGCAGCAGCGGCGGCGGCGGCGGCTTGGGCTTTGATTTTTGCTTGATTTCTTTCAAAATCGGCTGCAGCTAAAATAGAGATGCAGAGCAGGGCTCCCTCCTCCGGACCCGAGAATCTTTGGGCCTCCAAAGTTGATATGAGGCTCGAGTGGAGTTTGCCTTTTTTCTTTTTGTATTTCTTGTTGCCCCTTTTTGTTGCATGTGCAGTGACTGTGACGCCATTTTCAGGCAGGCAAAGGCGTATGCAAAAAAGAGAGAGAAAAGCCGAGATGAGGTTGGGAGAACATGTCCAAAGGCAAACCGCCAAAAGGATAATCAGCAACAATTTAGTATTATTACACCACGTTTCGAAGCCATCGAAAAAGGGGTTTGGGGCAGAGGTTCAGGGTTTTCTGTGGTCGGTAACGGGGTGTGTGGGGAGGGGCCAAAAGTTGGAGCAGCACACAAAGTTGTCTGTCAGAAGAGGCTCGGCTGGGCCCCACTTTTAAGCCTGGCTGACTGGCTGGCTGGCTGGCTTAGCTCTCGAGTATGCATTTCAAAGAAAATCATTATTATCGATGCGGCAAGACGATGGCAAGAGGATGAAAAAAAAAGGCAGCTTTGGAGTGGAGGATGAAGACCCCGAAGCCGTGTGCCTTTCGGTATTTTCACGTAGCTCGTCGTAGATTGAGTTTCAATGGAAAAATGATTTGCAAATTGACTTTAACGAATTGCCAGAGCCAGAGAACGAGCAGGTTGGCTTTTGGGCATGTTATGGAATTTTGATTACAGCATTTGCTATTAGAAGAAAGCTCCAACCGCATGTAATTGGCACGCATTTTGGTCTCAGTCTATGGGGATCTATGAAATAGCCAACTTAAAGAGCCACCTCTGGGGATCTTTGGCCATTGAGAAGACAATCGAAGGCGTTCAAAGAGCTGGGGCTCAAGTCGATGCCATTTTGATGGTCGTTTCATTGGCATTGGCCAGGCTGAAAAGTCTGAAAGTCTGGCTAAAACTGAGACTGAGACTGAGACTGAGAAACTCAAGATACAACTTGAGGCCGCAGGCGGGACGTCTGATCTGATCCATGGCCACCGATCAGGCGCTCTCTCTAAAAGGAGATCACTGGGAGAAAAGTTGTCTTGAAAGGAAGAAAATAACTTGAAGTTTGTGGTTTTAAAAAGTTAACTTAATCTGAAAGATATATTAATGGAAACGTCAAGGAAACATTCCCAAAACTTGCTATCTTTAGATACTTCTTAGCTTTCTCTCTTTTTCTCTCTGTGTTCGATTGCAACTTGAACTGGGACTCCATTGCGGAGGAGCCTTTGCCCGTTGGGCGATGCCAGTTCGTATATCATTATAGAAATTACCTACTCTCGGCAGCAGCCATTGTTAGTATTTTGCCATTAACGTTAACTCTCTGGCACAATCTGAGCTGCCTGATCTCTGGCAAACTTTTGCAGCTTTACCAGCAGCAGAAGCATGCCTCATCGATGGGAGGGGGGCAGCAGAAATTAAAAAAGAAAACTTAACCAACCAACTAAAATTTATCAAGCGGCAAGGCAAGGGTAAAAAAGTAGATGTTGTAAATTATTAAAATCTAATGGAAACGTTGACGTCAGTTTGGTCTTGTGATGATAGCTGGAAGTTGGTTGATAAGACAGCCTATCAGTTAACCAGACAGATAGTTGGGTAGCAGAGTTTTATATAACTAGGAAAATGTATAATATGACTTACCAGGACTACCGAGGAAGACTGAGGAATACAATCGCCGGGAGGCGTCTGCATTGCGAGCATCGGCAGGTGAGGACCATTCTCTTCGACACCATCGACCTGTAAGAGATAGAAAAGCCAATGGTTAGTTAACTCTTTATCTTTACTATAAAGAAAACTTAGTTTATAAAATGAAAATAATGAAAAAATGATTAGAAAAACAAATAAGTTCAAAAATCTATTACTTAGCTTAGGTCTTAATCTATATCTTATATTTTGAAGTGATGGGAAAGCAAAAGTTTCTTTAAATATAAAAAAAAAACCTTGTACTTAGTGAAAAAGCTAAAGCCTGTATATAATTATTAATTCAATTCTCCACATTCATAAGCCTTTTGGCTAAAAACGAACTGAAACTCATTTCCAGTTAAGGCAACGCGCCGCAGCGGCATTAAGATCTTGAGCCACTCTAAGCCATCGACTGACTGACACAATTCGCAACACTTGTCAAGTTAATGCCTTTCAAACCGATATTGACAGGGCGCTGAATATGTTAAGCCCCAGCATATATCTTATGATATCTGTTCAGGGTTTTCAGTGGGCTTTCGTCAAAATTTTCATAGAATGACAGGTGATTCAGTTGGCTACCCCCCTCCCTCCCAAAACTAATCTCTGTCTGAATGAAAAGGTCGCATTGGGCAAAAGCAAGAACCCTCAAGTCAAGGAAAATGGCCCACAAAATGTATATAAACTTAAGAACCTCAATGGACACTTTAAGCTTATAAAACTTTAAATGAAAAACGTAGTGTTAAGAAGAAAAACCAAGAAAAAACGAGAGGAAAATGGCGCTAATAATAATTTGGTTTATGGGCTTTAAAGCACAATGAAGGCGGTTATGGTCGAGTGAGGGGGCGTGACGCGGCGGACAACAACAACAGCAACAGCAGCAACCCTCGGCCAATCTCCCGGGCAATTTCTATTATTTTTTTAAGCACTTTCTTGAGCTCAACGACGGGGGCACAGACAACCAACGCACCTTTATTTAAATTTTCTTTTCTTTTTTCTTTGCCTTCCCTTCTTCTTCTTTCTATTCTGGTCAGATGGTTAGGGGTAGGGGTTGGGGGTTAAGGGGGGCCGCCAGACTACGCTTCGTTTTCTTCTTAATGGGCAATTTTCTTGGTAGTAAATGGGCACGTTTTATGAACGCTTTTGTGGGGTGTTTATGGGGTGGTGCTGATGCCCAACCTTCCATTCCACCCACCTTACAAGCGACATCCCCTTATATCTGCCACGCCCCTTATGGGCTAAACGAATGCAAGTCTTGGTGGTTTTTTTTTCTGTCCAAAATGGAATATTAAATTGCCACTGAAACTGCACCTGGCCAATTAAAAGGTAACATAATATGGTCGAAAATAAATTGGTAACAAAATAAAATAGCAAACAGTGGAAAAATCTCAATTTAATTGAAAGGTTTTCCCATTTTTGTTGGCAAATCAATTTGGATTTTGATGTATGGCTCGGTTTGGGGGGGGTTATTTTTAAAGCGATTAAAATTAATTACGATAGAAATTGATTATTTAAAGAAATTTAATATGTAAAAAATAAAATAAATAATAATTTAAGGCGTGATTAATATTTAGAAGAGATTTTATGACAAATAAAATGATTTTTATGGATAAATGGAGTGATTATTAAAGTACAAAAATAATAATAAAAAATGGGATATTTCCCAGATTATAAAATTAAGGTTTTAAGGTCTTAAAATGGATTTTTATAAACTTTAAAACTAAAAAGGAATGCAAAATAAGAAATAAGATCTTAAATTTTTCATAATTATTCATAAAAGCCTAAAATAATTACCAAAAAATCAGACATTTCTCACTTAATAAAATTAACCCCCCAACAGCCAATCCAAAATCAATAATATAATTAATATAGAAATCTGACTGCCAACAACAACAACAACAGCAGCAACAACAACTACAATGAGTAGCCGAAAAAAAAACCAAATTGTTCGCACATAAATCTTTGCACTAAAAAATTTTATTGTCGTTTTTATTGTAAGGAAATAAAATAAAAAAAGAAGCCAAAAGCAAAACAAAGACACAACAATAGCAGCAACAGCAAACACACACAAAGAGACAGAGCCAAACAGTCTGCTGATTTTGGCTCTCCCAAACACACACACACACTAACACACCCGCAGCAACTGTAAAAAAACTAGCATCGCCCCCTCTCTTTCGCTCTTTTGATGGCCGCGTATATTTCCCCTGGCGAGATTATCGTACCGTAAGTTAGCTGCTTAAATATCGTAAGAAGGCAGCGCCATTTGCCTCGCAGCTGGTCTGCTCTCGTTTGATAAGTTAGAGCGAGACAAAGCTAGTGAAGACATAAAAATGCGGCGAATTCAGTTGCTCGTGTTTTACTTTGTTTTTTTTTTGTGTTATTATTTTTCTGCCAAGTTAATGATTTTCGATTTTTGTGACTTGACTAATTTGGTTTTTTTTTATTTTGAAGACCCTCAGCTCTGCTTCTTCTTGTTTTCTATTAACTTATGCAATGTAAAATCAAAAAAAGCGAACAAAGCCAATTCGCTGCGCTTTTAAAGCTTAAAAATGGGGGAAAAAAATGCCAACAAATTTGAAATTTCTTTGTTTATGAGGCTTTTAAATGTCACAACTCTCGATTCCTGAGAATGTGCTAAAACATTTATGGCCCGCCTGTCTCAAAATGTATTTTAAATTATTTTTGGTTTTTCTTTATTTTTGTTTGCTTTTTTTCTTTGTTCAATTTTCCTACAATTTTCCTATGAAAATATATTTGAAATTATATTTCTGGTTTCGTTGGTTGTTCTATTTTTTCATGTCTTTTGGCCTAAATGTTTCGAAATGTTTCTCAAATTAAATTAGGCTCTGTTAATTATCGTTTTTTTTTCAGGCAAATTTTAGCTTGTTAAATGTTTGTTTTTTCTTTTTGATTTTTCTTGATTTTCTATATATTTTCATTTGTGTTTTCTTTTGTTGCTTTGCCTGATTTGCTTTTTTGGCCTTTTGTCGGTTGAACGCAAAACGAATGATTTTCTATTTTTAGTGGCACTATTTTGGTGGCGACCCCATTCGATTTTCAGCCTCTAGCTAAGTGTGTTCTTAACCCCCCACCCCCCTCTCCACTTTCCTTTTTCCCCAAAAAATGTTCCCTGATTTTTCCTCTAACAATTTCCCTCGAACTTTGTGAAGTGCCCAGGGGCCTGATAAATGGCGCTTAGGCATTGATTAGATGCCCCACAGCTACGAAATGCATTTGCCTTATCACCCAAATGCACTCCTCACACACACATACACATACTCTGCCACACATTATAAACTAACACCCATTAGAATTCCCCTTCCCCTTTCCTTTAGACAAGCGGCAAAAGCCGAAAAAAGAAAAATAACAGACGCAATGAAACGAATTTTCCATTTTCCATAGAGTTCACTTCACCCCAATGCCAAAGTCTCTTCGATTCCGTTCAGTGCAGAGAGAGAAAGTTGGTGGAAAATATTTAGAAAATTCAGAATTAATGTAGAATCTTTATTTAAGATTATAAATCTTCTATTTTTGCATTCTAAAACTAAGCTATTTTCCAAAAATGAAGTTTCAGTTTTCAATTTTCATGTTCCCCTTTGACTTTCTTAACATCTTAAAATGTCAAAAATGATTAAATTATATGTTTAAAATAAATAAGAAGAGATTTTAACCTGAAATCATTTTTATTACTGCATAAAAGTAGGCAATAAAATATGCTGCCATGTTATTTCTATGAAAAATAAGACATAAACTCACTAAAAACTAAAACTAAACATTTTTAGTAGCTCTTAAAAGCCAAAAAAAAACATTTTTCCTAAGAACTTTCTTCTCAGTGCATTTGTGTCTGTCTCGCTGTGTGCCTGTGTGCGTGTCCCTCCTGTCTCTGTGTCTGTGTTTAGATAAAATTGTGTTTCGAAAGTGACAGTTGAAATGATTTATCACTTGCCAGCGACTGCAAGGCGCAAACGCCAACGCTGCCCCGCCTCCGCGAACGCCTCCCTCTCACCTCCCCCCCTCTCTTTTACCAACCAACTTTGGCTGTCGTCAAAGTTTTTAGCACAAGCTCCCTTTGGCCCCCCAAAAATTTTCTACTTCTCAGCCCCAGAATGTTTGGCATTTTTGTGTAGAAAAATTGAAAATTGCTTTTTTCGTCAGCAGCCCCTCTTGGAAAGCACTCTCTTCGCCCCGCCCCCCTCGAGCAGCCTCCCTCCTCTTTGTCCTGCTATCTCAGGCAACTTCATCTTTCCAATTTTCTACTATTTGGCTTTGTTCCCCCCTTTTCCTCGCGTGGCCTCTCTTGTATTGTTGTTGTTGTTATCTGTGAGTTTTTCATATGAAAATTTAATTCCGCTCAAAGCCCCCAACCCCCGCCCCCGCTACCACACCCACTCACCCTGGCATTTCCCATGCGAGCTAATTTAAAAATTTTTGTAATTTTTTCGCTTTGCTCTTTTGGAATTTTTGCAATGCGCGACAAAATGATTTATGTCGCTGCCTGGGCGAAATTAAAAATATTACAAAAAGCCGCAACACCAACAACAATGTGAACACATTTAAATAACATAAAAAAATACATATATACATATATATATCTCTGTATCTGTACAGTATGTATATATTTATGGTGTCACTTGAAGCTTTAAAATGAAATTGTTGCCGTGTGGAAATTTACGCTGGCTTTTGCTCAGTTTTTATGCCCAACAATTGCAGGGCAACTGCAGTAGGGAATGCAAAAAAAAAAAGATATATATATCTATATATATATATATCTACATATATATATATTTAAAATAAAATACATAAACCGCAACAATTTTTCAACATTTTGCACGTGTAAATTTTCCAATTGGTTGAACGCGCCAAATGAATGAAAAAGGGGGAGAAAAAGCATTGCAAAAATGTGTGGGAAAAAGAGCAGAAGAAGTGTAGGGGGGTAGAGGCGAAATGTGTGGGCGTTTGGTTTTGAGAGGGCGTGTCCTTCTCCTTCTCCTTTTTGTATGTTAAAGTTCCAGCTGATGGATTCATTTAGACAATTCTTGGGGTCAGGTAAGCAAGTT